ATCCACTGACATCAGATGTGACAAGTTACCTTAAGTTCTGGTGCTGGCAAGCAAGGGTGTGAAAGCAGAACCATGCACAGCAAGAGGCCAACAGAAGTCCATCACTTAACTGCAAAATAAAGACAAATCTAATGACACGGAAAGGATAAGTTTTCCTTGCTGAAAAGGACGAAGAATGAAAAAACATACACATTGTTTGCCAGCAAACAAAACTTGAATGGCAGGTTGCGTAACTAGGGGTAATTACATAAGCTTTAGTTTCGTTTCTGGAAAAACAATAGAGGAAGTAATCTGTAAAAGATGTTTAAAGTCTGAGACAAATGGTCCATGGCAGTGGCAAAGTAAGCAAGCAAGAACATAGCAGTAAAGCCACTGCTGACATTTGTCTAGGACAAAAGGAATTAATCTAGCTGAATGTTGCATAGCCCTAAACTCATGCCTTCCTCCATTTCTCAACCTATTTACACAACGGAGAAACCCCAGGAGGTGAAGGGGCAGTGAAAACATCCCAAATGCAAACTGGAGCACGTGTTCACCATCACTGAGAGGAGGCATCAGGAGGGTCCTCTTCCTACCGTGGCCAGGACTAGGCTAGGCAGACTGTGATGTCTTCCACCCCCCTCAATCCCTCTTCCAACCCTGTCCACAGCACAATCCCACCAGGCAGAGGCTGCTAATTAGCAGAGCTGCTAATGTTCATGAAGCTTTTTGGGGCCTTGGTTTTCCACTAAGCCCCTTGCTGCGTGATATAAGTGGTTGGATATAACCCGTGGGTTCAGCCCAGAAGGAGGAAGCCAGTGTCACAAGCTCATGACCTTTGTTTCTTTAGGGAACTGGACTAAAAATAGTTCATCAGGCTGGGGTCAGCTTCTCCCACCAGCAGGACTTTGCCACAGGAAGAGGATGTTGTCAGCTGTTGGGCTGTGCTAGCCAGCCCCAGCTGCCCCTTGCTGAAACACTCTCCTGTGGGGAAATAAATGCCCTGAAAACCATTCCCGGAGCCTGCTTTCACTGCTGATGCTTTCAGCCATTAAGTCCATGCTGTCTCCTAGCCTACAATAATAATATCAGGAACATTATTAACACCACTAGATTCACAGCTCTGGTATCCCTGCTGTCTTGCACCCATTTATTTTGGGGCACATCTCTCACACCGAATCCCTCAGCCCCTGCTCAGTCTCTCAGCACTCACATTTACCGGGGTTTCTCTCCCAGCACAGGGAGAACCACGCAGCCCATCTCTGCCCCCCCACCAGGGCTTTAAAAGCCCCATGAGCTCCCTAATACCTGCAGCTCATGGAAAAGGCTCCTGCCTGGTAATGGATATTTTAGAGCCCACCCAGATGGCTCACCACATGCATTTTTCTCGGGATGTGTTCAGCCTCTAGAAGACCTTTCCTCTCCTGGTCACAAAAAAAGCAAACACATGCTTTACTCCTCTGAAAAATCCAGGCTAAAATTTTGCTCCCTGCAGGACCCACCACTTCTCACGGGCTCCAGATGGATGCACATGGTAGGTCTCACTCTAAACACTGGCAGCACAACCAAGTAACTGCATCATGGGTCCGAATCTCCTGCTTTTCTTTTATTCAAATGAACCACCTAGCTACAGGTCAGTCTGGAATTACATCTTGAACCAACACTTGCTTTTAGATAATATTTATATTAGCTAAACCTTAAATCATTGGGAATGACTTCTCTTACCCCTGTCTGGAGGAGCAGGTGGCAATGGGACAGACAGGGTGTTTTAGGCAGAAACAAGCTGTTAATGCAGGGAAACACCCAAGGGGTCAGAGATCTAAAGTCCTGACCTTCTGCCAGGGCCTTCACACTGAGCAGGATGCGGCAACCAAGCCCCACTGCTTCGGGTTTTCCTGACCCCAGCAGAGCCTGATCTGATGCTGATGCTGCCCAGGGAGGTGCCAGGCTTTATGGGGTGGGGAGAAGCCACCCTTCCCAACAGCAGAAACCCCTCCTCCAGCAAGAGCCCTTGCCCTGAGTCTCCATCCCAGCAAAGGGTTGCACAGGGATGTAGCTGCAGGCCTCTTATCAAGCAGCAGCACAGGAGCCCTCCCTTGGCTGCCTGGTTTGGCTGCCTCAGCAAGCAGAAAAGCCCAATTCTGGGCAGGCATGGGGTGAGGGGTGCAGAGGGAAGACAGGAGGCAATACCCACACTTTCTGCTCCCTGGGGAAGAACAGCAGGCAGCCCCTTGCAAAGGGCTCCCCTGCCCCACTGCCAGAGGCTGGGATGGGGGATGCGTGTGGGGACTCTACACACTGCTATAGTTTGGGCAGACACTTGCCAGGCTGCAGCTAGTGCTGGCACAAGGCACTGAAGCCTAATATAATGGTAGCCCCTAGCCCAGAGCTGCTAGCCCAGCACCAGCATGGCTGGGGTCCTTGTTATTTAGGGTTCTCTGTGCCCCAGCCACCCTTCCAGCCTGACCCCAAATCCCCATCATGCCTAGGCTAGGTCAGGCTCCCTCCTCTCCACCCACACCCCTAGGCCTGCACAGTCCTGGAGGGCTGATCCTAGATATATTTACCACCTTGAGTAAATAACTTTTCACTCCTTACTGCTCCTACACCCTCCTCCCCCAAACTAGGATTTGGACAGGGCACAGAGCTCTTGAAAGGGTGAAATCTCATCTCTATTTCCCACGGGCACCTGTAGTTTCATAGCCCAGATACCAGGTGGCTCTTTTAATTCACACATTGGTTCATAGCCAGGTGTAACTCCTTTGTGGCTCCTCTGCTTCAGCTTTCAGGGGAGCAGAGGCCAAAGGAATTCTGAGATTTCATTCTTTGTGCTTTTTCACCTGGGAATGCAGTAGAGAAAAACATCCTGGTCCCATCCTTCCCCCTGTGGCTCATTTGCCATGGAGCCCATGAACCCTCATTTGTGATTTCTAAAAATCCTGAGCGCTTGGGCTGGCTGTGGGGATGCTCAGCCATGTCCACCTGCAGCTGCTGCCCCTCTGAAGCAGCTGTGCCTTGCTGCTCCCTGCCCAGCTGGGCAACCGCCACAGCAGGATGGCCTTGTCCCCTGGCACACGTGCCCCAAGGTGGCACCAATGGCTGCTGACTAAATGCAGGTTTCCCATGCATCACCTCAAACTCCAGAGCTGTTTGTATGCACCAGGGGAGACTATATTAGCTCAAACCTTAAAGAGAAAGAGAGGGACTGATTGTGTGAACTCTCACATGGGTGCTGGGTGAGGGACACGAGGTCAGGAGGCAGCAGCCAGGTTTGTGAGTGCTTTAATTGCCCCTGGGAATTGCTCAGTGTTGAGCTGGCATTGGCTTTGTAACCTGCTTTACAAAGGGAACCTGGCACATGTGATCATTGATGCTCTGCCTGTGAGTTGATTCTTCTCTTCCTGCACCACTTTGGTACCCTCCCATCCCACACTGTCTATTCTATTCTGCTAATTTTCAACCAAAATTAACAGAGGATGAGCTGCAAATTGGTCTAAATCCTGACAAGTCTCACAAAATCAGACAGCTGGATGGCATATCCTTGCTAGGCTGTGCTGCAGGAGGGGTGGCAGTCTGCGCTCAACCCTCATATTGGACAGCAGAGACTCCACTGCCTGGCCATGCTCCCAGCCACCTTCACCCTCCAAGTTCCAGCAGCAGAGCTATCTGCTTCCCACCACACAGGAGCTGCCACCTGCCCTGGGCCACCAGGTCTGCAGCTGGGACAAGGAAGGCATGGGAAGGGTGAGCAGGAGGAGAGGGGGCTCAGGCCCCCACGGCACAAGGGGGTCTGAGTCCCAGCCATCCCCTCCACAGCCACATCCTTTGGCAGCGGGTCTTTCAGCTGGGGATGGCTGTGCTGGCAGGGGGATGTGAGGGACACACCTCACTCCTCCTCAATATTCTGGCAAGTTTAAAAATTACCAAGCACAGAAGAGGAGCAGGATCTGAAGGAGAAGGGTGAATGAACTTGTCAAATGACTCTGGCGGTGTCAGCCCAGGATTATTAGTATTTATATGTGGGGGAGCTCTCCTGAGCTAAGGCTGCTCTGTGCATAGCAGTGTCTTCTTTCCTCCATGCCAAAGGGAAGCTCATTTGGGATTGGTTCTTTTTTGCATTAAACTTTTTTTTAATGTTTTACAGCTGGCTTTCCCTGGGCACAGTAAGTAAAACTGAGGCACAGTGCAGCACTGACCTGGTGCAAATGCCACCAGGCTCATGGCAAGATCTTGCTCGGGGCCCAGGCTGCGCTGGCACAGAATGCAGGGGGCCTTTCTGCTGGGAAACCTGCTCAGGACACCATAATAAATGAAAAAAAATAGGTTACATCCAAACTGCAGCTGAGCTCCTCTGGGCAAGAGCAGGGATGTAGTGGCTTTTGGTGGCTACATCACAAGCTGGGACATGCTTCCCTGCTTCTCCATCAGAACCTATTGTTGGAAAATTCAGACCCCGCAGCCCTGCTGGAGTTAGATTTTGGGTATTGGTCTTTTTCTGGATGCTGAAGAGCTCTGGCATGGCAGCTCACCCCCCTCACCACCGAGGGAGATAAGGGGTCTGGCTCCCCTCTCAGGAACCTGGGAATCTCTGCCTTGCCTTGGGCGAGGAGTGGGATGGATGGAGGCTGGGATGTGGGCAGACCCCATCACCTTCCCCACTTTTCTCTTGGCTCAGCATCCTCCAGCTTTCCCTCCCTATTGCCACGCATGAATGCACCCCAGCTGAGAAAAATACAGCCCCAGGCCAAGGTGTCACAGCCTTGGAAAATCATCACCAACCCTTAAAAAAAGGAAAGCTGGGCTGAGCAGCGATGCTGCCTCCCCACAGTTGGGTCTAGCTCCAGGCACTGCTAAAACCTCTCCTGGGCATGAAAGGGTTGTCCCAGAGCCCTGGATTAAAGCGTAACTGTCCTTTGGGTGGTGAGGGCTTCGACAGTTGCTGGCTCCCAGATAGCAGTGCCTGGGGCTATTAAATGCCCAAACCTGGGGAACCCAGGGGACCTCCAAAGAACATAAGACTGTTTTAAAAATACTTTATTCTTAGAAAATACAGCATTCAGTACAGTGTGCTCTGCTCCCCCCAGCTTCCATCCCCTCCACCACCTGCTCTGCCGAGGTCAAGGCAACATCGACACGTTCACCGGTTCACCACGGCAGCAGGAAAGCAGAGGGCAGGTTTCACCCACCCCCTCTCCATCTTCGCAGTGGCGGCTCTCGAGCCCTCGCTGGTATCCAGCAGCAAAGTACTCTCCCCCCAAAGCCCCCACGAAGCCTTAATCACAGGGCCAAGCCTGGCCCTTGGAGTCAATAATGGCCCTTGCTGGCTGGGGACGGACCTGGGGGAGGCACACAGGGGCTGTCATGCTTCCCCACACAAGGATTTCGGGGTAGCCCACGTGATTAAGACATGAGGCTGCCCCAGACCAGAGAGCCAGCAGATGAGTGATGGTGGGGGCTGGGGCACATGGAGGGGAGGTACAACCAGGGCTCAGGATCACCCTGGTTCCCATCGTAAACAGGGATCGGGCCGTATCAGGGCTGTATCAGCTCCCTCAGAGAGGAAAAGCCTTATTGGAGGGGTTCCAAAAGGGGATGCAAACATCACCCAAAGGCAGAGTCATCTTTCTCCAGGGCCAGGCTGAGCTCAGGGTGGGGGACACACACACACCTTCCACCTCACACTGGCTGGCTTCCCCCAGGGACAAACTCCTGCTAGCAAAGCCCACCCCACGGGGAGGGGTCCTGCCCGCACCCTGAGGAGGTGCAGGATCACTCCAGCCCTGGGGCAGAGGGGCCATGCACACTGAAAGCAGGACAGTGGAGCAAAATCTGGGGGCTGAGGGAAGCAGGAAAAGAAGCATTTTGTCTTTTCAAACAGGAATCCCCAACACCATCCCTTCCCTTTGCATAGAGCAGCTTGCAGGCAAGCGTGTCCTTCAGTCACCCAGGGGCCACAGAGCAGCAGCTGTGACCCGGGGGGGGGACAGGAGCAAAGCCGGGGGACATGGCCTTGCTGTTCCTGTCCTCCGCTGGCAGCCCCGGGGCTTGCACAGGGATGTGAGGAAAAGAAACACTGACAACCCTGAACCCTCCCCATTGCTCTGCCCCCAGGTGCAACAAGCCATCCTGATGTTTAAAAAAAGGAATGAAATAGGAAAAAAGAAGGGGAGGGAAAAAAAAGGCTGAGATGGAGGGAAAGATCCCCAGGTCAGCGGAGAGGAAGCCGGGAAGCGCCGCAGGGATGCTGTCCATTCACCGCCCAGTCCTGTGGGATCTAACTGTCCTCGCCGTTCTCGCCCGGCCCCTTGATCAGCCGCTTCTGTCCCCGCTTCCCCACAGGCCCCTTGGGCTTGGCGAAGGCCTGCTTGAAGGCATGCTGCTTGGGGTGCACCTCCTCATAGAGGAACTCCGCTGTCAGCTCGGCTCCGTCGTCGATCTCGATCTGCACCCAGGAGTGGCAAGCGGGGATTAGCAGCTCCCTGGAGTCTTGACACCCACCTTATGGCCACCCAACTCCCTCCTGAGCCCACCAGTGGGGCTGGACCAAGGCTGTGGCACAGTCCCTTGCAGATGCCCAGCACAGGTCTCTGCTCCATCACCTCTGAGTGGGCTCCTACTCACCTTCTTGGCTATCTCCAGGCAAAACTCCTGCTCCACGGTGTCCAGCAACCGGCTCTTGCAGCTGGAGTAGAGCATGCGCTCCTTGATGCTGCATTTGTACCCAGGCATGGAGTAGATAAAGACTGCAAGGAGAGAGCAGGGCTTGTGGCACTGCCCAGACTCGTGGCCAGGGAGCTCTGGGCAGCTGCATCCCACCCTGGTCACAGCTTTTCCAGCTGTGAGAGTCCCAGTCTATGCAGTGACAGAAGGTGAGCCATCCCATCCAACACCCCTCCCCAAATCTCCCCTGGCTCTAGTACACCTGCAACACAATGGCTGTGCAAATCCACCATGGCAGCACCCAGAGAGCCCTGTGCTGTGCCAGAGCAGCTTCCCTCAGCACCAAAGGACTTGCCAGCACCCACCACGGGAGGACAGCAAGTGGGATCCAGCTCATGATCCCCTGCCCTGTCACCCCATCCCCACTCGTTCCCCACGCGAGCAATGGTCCAGGGAGCGTGGGCACCAGCACAGGCTCTAACCAGGCAGTTCCAGTGCCAGGGCACTCACCAACTGACTCCAGGTAGTCTCCCTCGTGCGAGTGCTTGTACAGGAAGAAATGATAACGAGCCGAGTCCTGGGGGATCCTCTTGGGCAGGTCAGCAATCTCTGTGGGGCTCGTGTGCACCAGGTCAATGGTTTCCCGCTCCAGATCCAGCTTCTGATGGACAGAGGGGATGGGGGAGCAGACAGGAATGAGAGGCAACAGCAAGAGGCAGCAGGGTGTGGGGAGCTGTGAGGGACCTACCAGCTGGATGTAGTTGATTTTCTTCTGCTTGAGTGCCTGGATGGCTTGCTGAGCATCCAACTGCAGGGGGAAGGCCAGGCCCTGCAGGGTCTGGTGCTTGCTCTCCACGCTGATCTCTGTCTTCACCTGGGGATGGAGACCACACCGAGTGTCAGGGTAGAGACCAGCAAAGGGTGAGGAAGGGAGAGAAAGGAAAACCGGCCAGTGCCACAGCAAAAGGCTTCTTATCCAAGGAGCCACCTGACACCCGGCTCACAAGGGCCATGGCATTAAACCACCAAAAGTCAGCCAGGCTTGGGGCAGCGATGCTTGTCACCGTGCTGCCACGCCGTGGGATCACCTGACCCTAGCCATGCACCCCCATGCCCCCCTACTTCACTCCCAGCAAAGACTAGCACAAAACTGATGTTTCCCAGCAAGTCCCTGGCAGGGATGCTGTGACCAACACTGGCACGTGTCCGTCTCCAATCATCTCTGACCTCAACCTGCAGGTGATGGGGGGAGCCCTAAAATCACAGCATTCAGCTGCACGGGTCCCCACCAGCAGGGAGGGCAAGGCCCTCCTCAGTGGATTTAACTGCAGCAGACAGGCATTCCCTCCGATGCTGGAGCTGGGGAATTGGAGATCCACAGCTCAGAAAGATCTCGGCTGCTGTTTCCCCACAACCCCTGCGGGGCAGAGGCTGCTGCCTGTACCCCAAGCAAACCCCTTAGTCCAGGAGACCAAAGCCCACTTCAAACAGGGAAGAGAAAAAGACTGCAGAGACATCACATCGCCCCAGGTGCCTCCATCCAGCCACAATGGGGGATCCCTGACCAGGACTGGAGGGTCCTGCGGGCCGGCAGTGGGGAAGGGGGGGCAGGACGCGGCCGGCGCGGCATACCTCCTCGGGGCCGGGGTACTCTACCAGCGATGGGCAGCAGCAACAGCCCCCCACCATCTGCCACAGAATACAGGGAGACGGCGTCACCCTGATGGCGGAGGAGCCCATCCCACCTCAAGACCCCCACCCCAGGTAAACAGTCCAGCAACGCTAACCCAGGTGCTCTGCAGCGAGCGTGGGTCCCTTTACTTTGGGATTGGTTTGGGGGATTTTGGGTAAAGACAGTCCAACCTTTTTTTTTTTTACTCTTCTTCTTTTCCCTCCCCTGATAGAGAAAAGGAAGAAAAAACAAGGCATGCCAAGAGAAACGCAAGAGTTTTAGCTCACATCTCAAAACCAGCTTGGCAGTGCCAAAGCAGATCTTGTTACGAGGCTACCCTTCGTTACGGCAGCCCTGTGCAGTACCCACACCCTGGGGAGATGATGAACCCGGGTGCCCGGAGCACAGCATGCAGAAAAACAGCACCGGGAGAAGGAAAAACCGGGCATCAAGCAGGCAAGAGCAGCCTACCATCTCGGTGCTCGAGTCCTGGGAACAGGAATCCTGCGGGCGTGGGGAGAGGAGACACACCGTCAATGGCAGCCCGCGCAGGGACAGAGGGAGGGGTCTCGTGTGAAACGAGAAGGGGTGGGGGACACACAGGACATGCCGGGAGGATGGAGGCGTACCATCTCTCTGCTGGAGGCCAGGGAAGGCAGGTCCTGGTGGCACGGGCAGGGAGTGCAGCAAAAAATGACATGGGAGTCATCAGCACTGGGAAGGAGCAGGCGGGAGAGCCCCAGCCCTGAGCCCTGGCAGCCCCACACACAGCATCTTGGCCGACATCCCTGCACAGAGCCCATCCCTGCCCCATCTCCTGACAGCTCCCCAGCCAAGGTGGCCCCAGCCCAGGGGGTCTGGAGGAGTTACGGCTCCAAAAAAGGATCTGTAGGAGTTCCAGCAGTTGCAGCAATAGATTTTGGGCTATCCTCCACCAAATAGCATATACTAAAATTTTGGGGGGAAAAAAATGCCCAAGCATCTGTCTATGCCAAGCATCCTGGAGTGAACAGGGTGTGAATGCTCAGCTCTCAGGAAATAATTGCTCAAAGGTTTTCTGGTGGGCAAGAGGTCTGACTGACCTCCAAGCTCTGCTGTCCTACCATCCCCCAGGGTGACGTGGCACCAGCAAGGGCCCGAGGGCAAGCACACAGGGATTCAGAGGATCACACAAGCTCTCCTGGTCCTACTCTGCAGAGGTGCAGCATGAGGACATTACCACCGCCAACACCTCCAGATCCTCATCTTTCTCTCCTGTAAATGCAAGAAGGCTGGGAGGGTTATAGCGGAACTGGAGAGACCTCAAGCTGCAACACGAAGCATGCTGAAGTCCAAAAACCCCAAGAGGTGGAAAGTTGTCCTAGCAACGTCAACTCCCCCACATACCTCTGGATTGTCTACTCCTTCCTTTTTAAAAAACATTAAAAACCGGCTCACTAGAACACCCACCAGGGCACAGCCCCGGAGCTGTGCATGGGATGGTTATGTGCCACATCCCATTCCCTCAGCCCCAGACCTGTCAGCAGCAGACTTCACTGGGGGGTTGTATTATCTCCTTTTCTTTAGGTTAGTTTCCCCCCCTGCCCCCCCTTTCCTCACTGCTGGCATGGTGCTGACGAGCATTTCTCTGTCTTACAGCGAAACCTTTTGTGGGTGCGTGGTTCTGGTAATGCCTCCACTCTATCCACTCACCAACTGTGGGGCAGGTACAAATGGCACCCCCTTATACTCTGCAAAGGCATGGCCACCTTTAAATCCTCTTAATCCTTCTGCCTCATCCCTCAGGTCCAAAGCTGCCTTCCTCTCCCCTGAAGCCCCATTGATGCGATATGCCTGGCTCCCCTCTGTGTTTCTGAGCCTGTGATGCTTCTAAAAAGACTTCCCACTCGTGGGTGTTAAGGTAGCTCAATGCCAAACTCAAAGCCACTTCTTAGCCCACAGTCTGCTGACAACTTCCAGCTCAGTAAAGCCGGTGATGCATTTTCCAGCTATTTAAATACATATTTTTAATGGCAAATTTTTGCAAGCTCCCACCCAGCTGTCAAGGAGGGTAGCTCAAGACATTGCCTCTGTCCATGCAGTCCTCAAACCACAAGGGAAGCTTGGCTCACACAGCCTAAAAGGCTGGGCACCCTCCCAGGGCATGTGCAAACCTGAGTCCTTCCTACCCCAGTGTACAAGGCCACTGTGCCTGCCCTGAAGCTGCTGCCATGCAGCCATCGCCTCCCCCCTCCTGCTTTGCGGCTGCCATTCCCCTCCCGCCCCTTCTCTGCTCTCCTCTGGTGGTTGAGGAGGGTCCCAGGGAGCTTCTGCCAACCCAGAAATGCAGACACCTTTGGGAATGAAGACTGCAAATCAGGTTGGCATCCCAGAGGGTTGTGCATCAATGGCATCAGAGGAGAGGACAGCTGCACCACCACCAGCAGCTCCAGGCAAGGGGCACAGCAAAGCACTTACAAGCCGGTGGCTTTTCAAGAAACAGTGTTCCTCGTGTTATTTCCAAAATCCTAATGAATTGGTTGAACCCAGGGAGACACACAGGGTTCTGAACAGCTAGCAGGGGCATGGACAGACATGCAGAAGCACTGAGGTCAGGACTTGCCCAGGGGTTGCTTCCCAGGTCACTGCCAGCCCCGACTGCTCGCTCCCACGCACTGGATCTGCCCCCCCAAATGAATGTACATGCATGTGCGAGGCCCCCACAGCCTGTGCACAATGTGCACACGGGTGCAAGGACCCTGTAAGCCTGTAGGCAACATGCAAGGCTGGAGGCATTGCTGTGCTGGGCAGGGTGCTACAGGTTGAGAGCTGCTCCCAAACAGCCCCTCTCGATCAAAGCCCTCTGCTTTGCATGGCTCCAGAAATTCACTCAAAGCTGCATTTACTGATTGTCACAAGCTTCCCCACTCCAGGGAGGTGAGCATGGCACCCAGCACCCACACTGTAGCTCCCACCACCTCCTGCTCCGCGCCCAGGACCGAGTGGGGGCAGTCCCCGAACCAACACAAAGAGCCTTCAGTGCACCCAGTGCTTAGCTGCTTCCCATCTTTAAGTCCACAGGCAAAAATATATCCATTTTCCTCTCTTTCTAAATTCTGGTGACCACTCCCCATGGCTCAAGCTGACACAGGGGACAGCATACTTCAAAATAACCCCCAACCCAATCAAAGAGCAGCAGCACCTTCCCCCAGGAGCTGTGTCTCAGAAAGGCAAGGGTGGGAAACAGAGCATGGCAGATCACCTGGAAAACAAGCACCACGAGCACCACTTACCTGGGTCACGTGATCCTACCAGACACAGCCCAAAACCCCCCGCAAACTACTTCATCCCGTAGCACTGGCCAGCCAAGGCAAGGCACAACGCCCAAAGGTGCCAAACAGAGTCCCCATCAGCATCTCTCTCTTATCCAAGCGCGGGCATCACCTTGGATCCTCCAGCACAAACCCTGCCCAGCCCCTCCAGGCTGGGAGCTGGGATAACTGTGCGGGAGACCCCTGTAGTGGAGACCATCCCGTGGTGGCATCTCCCAAACACCCCCTCAACTCTGTCACCCCCAGACCTGCTTTGGCAGGTGGAAACCTCCTGCCTCATCTTTCTCATTAATTAATGTCATCAGGCTGATTGGCTTCACATCCCCCAGGCATGTCCTGACCCAACCACAAGCTCCACAGCCCCAGCATAGGCAGAAGAGAGAGGGATGCTCCTCTAGAGATGAAGATTTTTCACAGTATCCAAGTGAAATCCTCCCACCCCAACAAAGTCCTGCTTCCAGGTGGTCTGCCCAGCCAGCAAGCTGATCCCCTCCCCTGCCTTGGCATTTCACAGCACCGCAGAGGTTGGCATGAGTACTGTGAGATACTGGTGGGGAGACGATGGCATTACAGCCTTGTCTGCCCCCAATCCTACCCTGCACCACTTCCACATCTTCTTCCAGCACAATAGCCCCCAAATTTAGGCTAAGATACATATTTCTTCAGACAACATCCCTCATATTTATAGCCACAGAGAAAGAGTATGAGAAAGGAGGCTGCTGCAGCCCAAAGATAAGCCTGAGTTCTTCCTGCTTCCCTGGCAAACTCAGACACAGCTCTGGCTTTGCCCCGATACCTAGAGGTTAGAGACTGCTGCCTGTTTTCAGGCTCAAACCATCTTCCGACTGCCAATTACAGCAAGTAAAATGGAGCTCTGAGCTCATGTCCTAGCAAGGGAAGAGAAAAAAAAGTCTGTTAAGTTCCTCTTTACACCACCAATTTGACCGTGAGGATGCTTGGCCCAACTCAGCAAGGGCAAGAATGGGTTAAACTGCAGACGTACAAGAGAGTGCAGTAAAAATGAGCCATCCCTTTCAGCTGGATACTGGGATGCTCGCTCCCACACCTCTAGCAGCAAACAAACCCCATCACTCCACATCTCTGTGTACCCCAAGGGTCTTGGGCTCCTTCTCCCTGGCTGGTGGACACCCACCTCGTTGATGCGGATCTGCTGGAGCTCCTGCTCGGCTGCAGTCAGCGGGGCCGGGGCGGAGCAGGAGGACACGTGCTTTTGGTACCCACTCAGGGACACATCCTCCTGCAGACAGAGGGACAGGGACGAGGGAAGTGTCAGGGGTGGTTATTGCTGCAAGGCTGGATGCACCCCCAGCCTTCAGGCTGTGTCTGAGCAACCCAGTGGGTATCAGGCTCTCTCCTTTCCAGGAGGATCAACCTGAGCAGCACGCTTGGATGCCTCTGTGCAAATCCCACACTTGATTTTTAACAGTGCCTGTTGACTGCCTGTGCCTGTTCAGACCACCCTGCCCCTTCCTGGACACCCATGGCCACAGCAGTGCAGCTCCTCTGCCCAATTAACAGAGCTCGTGAGCACCAAAGCAAGAGGGAAAGGCAGAGACCACGGCCCAGGAGCAGCAGAGAGCAGCACTGGAGCAGGAGAGCAGCTGCCAGGAATGCTCCCTGGCTCCCATCGGCACCAGAAGCCCCGGCAAGGGTCTGATGCCCGGGAGGTCCCGGCTGTGCAGCTCCCTCTGCCCATGGAAAAGCCCACGGAAGAGGAGAAACCTCCTGCCAAGGCAGCCGGCTGACCCCGGCAGGGCAGCAGCTCTCGCCGCTGGAGCGACACTGCCACCGCCTGGCGCTTCTTCTCCAGCTCAGAGTAAAGCTCTGGATGTCTTCCGAGCCTTTCTCCCACCTCTTCCACTGTCTCCGGCACAGACTGACTACAGCTGTGCAGGCATGAGAAAGTGGCAGCGGCCACTGGGGAGTCTAAAGCTGCACGGAGGACAAATCTCCGTGCTGTCCTCTGCAAACACCAGCATCCCCCATCCCGCTCAGCTTTGGTGCTGAGCCTGGGTTAGGCTCCAGGGTTGAACCCAAAAGGCTGCCGAGAAACCACCACCGTACCTTCACTGTTCCAAACATCTCATCCTTTATGTGCCCCCCGCCAAACTCCTTCTTCACCGTGGCTCTGGTGGCGGCATACAGCATCTTCAGCCGGACCTGCACGAGGAGGGAGGCAGCAGCACTGTCAGAGAGGAGCATCCTGCGCGGCAGGACCCGAAAGCAGCACAGCCACGCAAGAGGTGCCTGATGCTCGCAGTCACCGTCCCACCACCGGCTCTGCAAACCTCAGCCCTCCCTTGGAGCAAGCACCTGGTTTCTATCCAGGCTGATTTCTAATCACAGCATCTCCAGGCCCGGAGCAACAAGGAAAACCCATCAGCACTATTGCCATGACCGCCTTGCCAAGCACTGCCCATGATCTGCCGGCTTATTCTGTGCTTTGCTTTCCCATTCCTGAGCTCCAGCATGCCATTTCTCACCCCCCTAGGTAAGAGGAGGTGCAAATATCGCTGGAGTTGCCTAGAAGTGACTTTTGGCACTTCTTTTGCATCATTGTTCTGCAAAAGCTTTTGGAAATGCTCCTTGGTGCCCCACCCTTGCAGTAAGGCCTTCCACATTTTTTTAAGAGATATATCTATTAAAAATATCTATATTATTATAATTGTATATATGTTTGTGTATATATATGTGTGTGTATATATAATAATAATAATACGTATTTGTTAGATACCTCAAACTGCAGAGGGTCTTTTTTATATGTGTGTTATAATATATATAATGATATAATAATAACAACATGCGTTTGTTATATATGTTGTTACATATATGAAAAATACGTTGTTATTATTATATGTTATATATAAAATAGTTATAGACAACAATATTATCATATATAATGTATATATTTCATATATAGCAATATTAACAATGCTGTTATTATATATAACTATTTTTTTTATATGAGACAAGTGCACATATTAACATGGCAGCAAATCTAAACAACATATAGATTATATAACGTATATAACATACATATATGTATGCATGTGACAAGCACATATGTTAACACAGCCGTGAATCTCGGTCCCGCTGAAAGCCCGTTACAGAGGTGTGTTCAGCACAGTGACGTTTCCCAAGCTGTACCACTGAAATCCTCCAAAGCCATCTCCCCTCAACCGGCCCTTTTGCGCCTGCTTTCCGACGCCGCCTCCAACCCCCCCAGCCAGCCCAGCAGGTGTCGGTGCCGGCCTGGCCACACAGAGCTTGGAGAGCCAGCCTGCACGGCCCTTTTTAAGGGTGATTTTGGAGCTGGGCCTGGAGGTGGGCCAGCAGCCGCTCTGCATCAGCCCTCGGGTGGAGCAGGGCCAGGCTGGATGCAGGGCCAGGCACGCTGGTGACAGCACTAGCTCTTCCCAGTGACACTTTTGGCCAGAGCCATGGTGGGACATCTCCATCCCCACGGTCCATACTGCTCCCCTCCCTACACACCCCAGACCTTCCTCCTCCTCCTCACAGCGCTGCAGAGAGGACAGAGACACAGTCCCATTGTATCTTACTGTATCTTAAAAAAATTCTCCCATTCCCAAAGCACTCTTCACTTCTTAACCCAGGCACAGCAGTGGAGAGTGTGAATGATCCTCCTCAGCCCCAGCGCCAAGTCAGCCTGGCCCGCATCACCTCCACCCTCCATCACCACCCCCCAGAGCCCGGCGGGTGCTCACCGGGGAGCTGTCGGGGGACCAGGAGATGAAGAGCCACTCGTAGCCCTGGGCGTTCTGGCTGTCCAGGCGGTACAGCACGTAGCACGGCTGCTGCTCATCCAGCAACGGCAGCACGAAGGCATCATAGTCAGCATCCCAGCGCCGGGACAGCTCTTTGTGGGCTCCCAGTACGAGCTGTTCTGGAAAGAGAAGACAGAAAAGGTGGCGTTAGGTGAAGGCAAGGCTTAGCTCACCTTACAGGACTGTGAGGCAGCTCAGCTAAGGACTTGCCACAGCTTCAGCAGTGACAGTGGTGCCATCCTGCAGAAAGACAAATTAAGGTCTCCAACCACATGCAGGAGTGTACACTCCCAGCGGCCACCGCACCGCGGGATGCCATCGGGGCTGCAACCACCATGGAGGGGTTGGTTTCCTGCCAGCATCCTGCTGCCTCCTGTCCAACCATCTCCTCCATTCCCTTGGTCACCTCACTGGTGACCATCTGTAGCCTCCTTCTTCTCCCTCCAGCTGTGTAGACCCCAACCAACCCTCACTGCTCACAGGAGAACATGAGACCTCCTCCATCCCACCTGGACAAGCTCTAGGGGCATTAAAAACCAGCTGGAACACAAGGAATCAACCTAGATTTGGGGCACTGAGAAAAATAAAGGTCCCATAGCACAGTGAGCCCAAGTTGCTCTCACTGGATTTCCCGTAACCTCAGAGGGGTCAAATTCAGAGGGAATACCAGAAGCCCATGCCTGCAGGGACTGAAGATGTCCCAGAGACCCCAGCCTAAGGGGGGGACCATGCTGCCAGGAGAGCCCCAGCCTCCGGAAGAGATCTACATACTTCACACACTTGGTTGCATCTCAAGTATCTGGAGGGTCTTTTTTTCAGCTACTATGCAAGCAGCAGTGGGGCTGGGAGCCCCATGAGCAGGCAGCTGAGATTTAAAGGTGCAGGCATTATATGAACATGAAACCCCACTCCACGAGGGTCAAACCAAGCTTTGGGATGGCTAGATGGAAAAGCAGCATTGAGAGCCAATCATTGTAGGTTGCTGGAAAACAACCTGTATTTTTATTCCATTTTAGATGCAGACAGGTCTGGGAGGAGATGTCAGGACACAGAACAAGATATAGGAAAATCTGGAGGTGCCAAAGCAAAATAGTTTGGGGCTTTGGACAGATGGCACTCGAGAGGATGCTCAGCCTGCACATGCCCTGCCTGGACCTCTGCCCACAGCCCCGCTGCCCATCAGGAGCCAGGAAGCCCCTTGCCTTTGGTTCCTTTTCCAACCCTCTTCCTCCCATCCAGCTCAGCAGCTCTGAAGCTCATAGCAGGAAAGCTTTTAAGGAAAATAGTTGAGGAATAAAGGGTTTGAGATGAGTTACTCTCACCCACCCTTTCCATCCAAGCAGTGCATTCTCCCACTGACAGTGGCGTAGCCCTCCCCTGCCCCGTGCTGCCCTGCCATGGCATTTGCTGGATGCATTGTTATTTGTGCACAAGGGGCACATGATGCTGTTATTTGTGCACAAGGGGCACATGCTACTGGTACAGTAACAAGGACAGCAGACAAAAAGGGTGCTGAAAATACTTTACCTTCAGCAAAACTACCTGTTTTGAGAAAGAGAAGCATAAAACCTCAATCTACCCCTAAAATAAAAATAAAGCCCTGCAAATGGATTTGTGTACTGCAAAGACCTGGGATCCCAAAGAGACTGAAAGGAATTTCACCCAGTCAAACCCACTGGGAGCTCATGGGTGCCTCCGTCTGCCAAATATCCTGACACCTCACACACGAGGCAATCAATCAGTGCTGAATCATTCCAGGCTATTCCCGGGCTGCGCCCAAGCCGGATCCCGTGCTGCTGTGAGTCAGCAGCCTCCAGCTTTCCCCTGGACCAGAGGAGCAGTTTCTGCCTCTCTGCTTATTCCGCTGCCTCCCATCAGCAATCTGTAGTTCAGTTCAACCCATTCAGGGTCAAATTTTCCTCCTCGGGAAGCATTGGGAAAGGGAAATCCAGAGCAGCTGCCTTTTGACAAAGCATCATAGTCAGCGTCAGCTATTTCAGGCTCCATTTCTGTAGGACGCTGCTGCTGGAAAAAGGGTGCTGAGAGCATTTCTGGCCCTCGAGGTGCCCCCAGCACTCAGCTGCAGGCAGGCTGCCTTGCTCCAAAATGCCCGTAGAAGGCAGCGCTGCCTGCAGCTCTGGCAGGCGTCGCAGCAGGACAGCGCAGAGGCCAGGAGTCTGCAATGCTCAGTGCACATCACCTATGTGCAAAGAAACGCACCCAATGGGGAGGACCACAAAGCCAACCTTGTCCAGAAACCTGCTGACAGCAAGTAGAGCATCACCACGTTGGACCACAAGTATTTCTCATGCCAGGAAAGCATTGCTGAGCCTCAATACACAGCCTGCTGCTCCAGCACACCCCTTCATCCAACCATGGCTTCTCCTGGCCAGCCCCTAAAGGTAACATCAGCTCAAAGTGCTCCCAAAAGATTGCTCAGCCATAGCTGCTCTCCTGGGGATGCCTGGACACAGAGCATCTGCCATAAGGCTCCTTGCAACATCTTCCACTCCTTCTACCCGCAGTTGCCTGCTCCAACATGTCCCAAGACTAATGGCCTGTAGGGTAGAAGGTCCTCTGCAAGCCACTGAGCAGGGCTGGAGGCTCCTCTTCCACCCCGCTGTGTAGGCAGGGCAGCTGGCTCCCCAGCTGGCTTGGGACACATCCCTTCCAAGATCAGTGTGCTTGAGTCCATCTGTCCAGCTATGACATCTGTCTGGCTGCTCAATACTGCCTGAGGGTCCTTCTCTGGTGGGTAGCAGCAGGCTAATGCCCCCTGTGTTACAGAAAAGAGTAGTGGCCCAGAGGACTGACCAACTTGAGACAAGTCACACGGGAGGACAGACAGGAGGTCCCTGAGCGCGGCCACCACCACCTTGTCCCCAGCAGACCAAGCCCTTCAGCTCAGAGATGCTCCTGGCTCTCCTCCTTCCACCTGCCTCCCCACGGGAGCCTCAGGCTCTGATGCATCTCAGAGGCTTCTGCAGACACTCAAGCTCTTCCAGAGCTGCCCACTGCCATGGCTGGTCCAGGCCAGGAGAAAGGAGCCAGCAGGGTGGAAGAGCTGGACTGGGAAGCACAAAGCACTGCCAAGTGAGGTTAGTCCATGAAGCAGCTGATGCCACCAACACATCAGACAGATAAATACATCCCATTCAGCCTGAGTAGAAATGATGGGATGTGGTTTCCATTGATGGTAAAAAGTCTTCCTTGCTGGTGTCACCAACCACAATCCAAAGCCAGTGGCACAAGCTCTAGCACCCTAAGTTCAGGCTGAGAGGCATCCATGACTTATCCTAACACAAACCTGATACCCATTTTTAAAAAGATAAAGAAGACAAGAGAACAACATTGTTGTCAAAGATGCTCTGAAGAAAGAATGCAGATACCATATCCCAACACAGGCAGATCTTGCTGAGGACAAAGCCAACACCAATGAACCTTGCAGTAGCCCTGCCAGTGTGTCCCATGCGTCATGCTGCTCTTCCAAATGGGTCTTCACAGCCCCTCCAAAAGCTACCATGGGCTCCTTACAACCACATCCACCATGGTGTTTGCAGCACGGTCCTGGTGGCCCACCCAAGGAAGGTGGTGATGGCAGCTTGGCAGGGCATTAACGTCCCTGTTGCCGTGAGAAACAAGTCATTCATATGCAATTGTATGAGGCTGAGGTGATGGAAAACCTACACCACGGAGGCTCCTCGCTGGGACATTCAATCAGTGCTTTGCTCTGTTCATTTGTTTGATAGATGTAGAGGCCACTTAAAGGCACCTTTCCATGGGGCAAATGCAGGCAGGTTGGTGCCAGCCTTCAAACTGGGCTAGGGGCAGCCCCATGCCCAGAAGCAGGTGCTGGGACAGGCTGGGTTTCAGAGCACAACATCCCTTGCAGGATACAGTTGGGGCCCTGTGCCAAGCCCTGTATGGAAGAGTAACCCTCTGCCCACCCCTGGCCCGAGCATCTCCTTGCCTGGTGTGGGATGCCACGTCTAAGGAGGAAGATGCTGCGCATTGTCCCTGACCAAGGTGCCACGGCACTCGCAGAAGCTTCTCATGGTGCTCATCATAACAAAACCCAACACAGTGGCAGGAAAAGCCACCCAGAGCACAGCACTGATGCCAGATACCCATACTGCCATATTGGTCTGCTGGTAAAGTTGCTGCTCCCCCCTCCGAGCCACCTCAGTGCTCACCAGCACCAAATTTTGGGGTTGTATTTCAGCTCCAGGCTGCTGCATGCCAGGGAGCCCCAGTAGGATTTTTCTTGGGGTTTCCAAAAACACGAGCTGACGCCACAGCAGCAAAGAGGAAAGGAGGAGAGGCAAAACAGAGAACCAACATGGCATAAATCAAAGTACATGAAAACCAGACTTACCATCCTCAATGATGACCTTGATGAGCCGCACTGAACCATTTCGGGCTTTGGCAAAGAAGTCCCTTAATTCTGTGGTGGCTGAAAGAACCAGAAACATTGTAATCAGATTTAACAGTCAAAGCAGGCACTGGGCTGCTTGGTGACTGGCCAGGGAGCAAAGCAACTTGGCAGGGCAGAAATTTAAAAATCAAAAAAATAAAATCACTGGTGCCAAAAAAATGATAATAAAAATAATAATACAAAACCCAAACAGCTGGGAGTGAAGTGCTGCGTCTCCCTGAGGCGTCAGTTAAATAGCAGCTGGGAGTGCATGTGATCCAGAGAACTTGATACTTGGCCTTGGTGAACATAATCACCCAAATTTAGATGACGGCTTGGCCGGTGCAGGCGGGGAGAGCTCAAGTGACAAGTTTATTCGCTTTACAGAGCAGCATTGCATCTGGGGGTGGCTGGAAGATGTCCTAACAGGCTGTGATGTCTTGGGCTTGTGACACACCGTGGCAGGGATGTTGGTCCTGAGGCAGCTGGGGACCAGCATGGCTCCAAACTGGAGGCACTGGGTTGAAGCTGAGGCCCTGCAGAAGGGAAAGGCAACAGCCCCAAGGTTTTGTTTCAGAGCCAGCAGGGCTTTGGTTGCACAAGACTTTTGGGAAGCACTTCGGGGAGACACCTTCCTCCACATTCCCACTCCCTGAGCACCAGGCACCAGCAAACGGTCTTTGACATCCTACCAGGAGGCAACAGCAGGCAGCAGATGTTGAAGGGGCAGCCTGCAGCTAGCGTTGGAGGCTTAACGTGCCCACCTTGAAAGCATCACCAGCACAGAGCTTGTCGTCTGTGCTGGGTTTGTGTGTCAGGGTTTTGGTAGCAGGGAAAGGCAGCTACAGAGCTGCCTCCTGTGAGAAGCTTCTCAAAGCTCCCCTGGCTCCAGGTCAGACCCACTTCTGGCCAAGGCCAAGCCGAGACAGTGACTGTGTCTCTGTGATAACAAATCTAAGGAGAATCTGTGAAGAGTTGGAGTTGCAAGGAGGACACCTCTACAAACACCTCTCGGCCAGAGCAGCCTGTGGTGAGCGGGCAGGCTGTCCCCCCGCAGCCCGGGGGGGTCACCGGGGGAGCAGATCCCCACCTGCAGCCCGGGGAGGCCCCACGCCAGAGCAGGCGGCTGTGTCCAAAGACAGCCGGGGCTCTGGGGGAAGCCACACTGGGTAGTTTGGCACTGGGAGGACTGCAGCACACAGAAGGGACCCACACCAGAGCAGTTCATGAAGAGCTGCAGCCTGTGGGAAGGACTCATGTCAGAGGAAATTCATGGAAGACTGTCTCCCATGGGAGGGACCCTATGCTAGAGCAGGGGAAGAGTGTGAGGAGTCCTCTCCCTGAGACAGAAGTGGCAGAAACAGCAGGTGATGAACTGACCACAACCCCCATCCCCTGCGCCCCTGCACTGCTGGCACGGAGAAGGGAGAAAAACCAGGAGCAAAGCTGAGACCAGGAAGAAGGGAGAAGTGGGGGGAAGGTGTTTTTAAGATGTGATTGCATTTCTCACTGTCCTACTCTGATTAAATGGTGATGATGGTGTTTACATTAAATTTATGTTCTTTGTCTTCCCCAAACAAGTCTGTCTTCTGCCTGTGACCATAATGGGTGAGTCATCCCTCCCTGTCCTTATCTTGATTCCCGAGCCTTTTGTTCCATTTTCCCCTCCCCATTCCTGAGGGGGAAGGAGTGAGCAAGTGGCTGCTTGGTGCTAAGTTACACTGTGGCTGTGTGGTGCTCAGTTGCCCTTTGGGCTCAAACTGTGACACGGTCCCACCCAGAACATGCTACGTGCAAAGGCAATGCCCAAGAGATGTGGCCTGGAGGGGCCAAGCCCCACGACAAGGAGTATCTCCCAGTGCAGGGAGTGCCCAGCATCTCCCAGCCTGGATCTCCCAGAAAGCCTCTTTAATCAGACGCCTGAGCCCCTTCCTGGATGCAGCTGCACAGCCAAGGGGGTCCTGTGAGTACAGTGTTGTAAGCAGCACTGCACTTGTTAGAAATACTAAAGAAACTGGTGTTACAAACACTAGAGACCCCGGCAGAAACCCCTTAGTCCACACCAGGATCTATGCTCAGAGTCACTGTCAGCAGCCCAGCCCTCTGGTGCCCTGTCATACGCCTGTCCATTGCTGATCACCGTGCTGGAGCAGCCCGCAGCAGGAAGGAGCCCTGCTTTGGGCTCTGCAGCCTGAGAGCACCCACGGTCAAGCCACTTTGCAAAGAAAGCACCCCTACATCAGCCGAAAGGTGTGGTGGACAAGTCATTCCCAGGCACCAACGGCCACATCCATTCTGCTTCAGTCCCACTAGCAGTGGGTGCCACCCTTCGGTGCAGCCCCCAGCATCGCCACAGGAGGAGCCTCGATGTTACCCATCACCTGCCCAAGGGACATGGTGGGGCCACCAACTGCCACATGCTGGTGCCCTCTTCCCTGGAGGCAGACCCTGGGCTGGGGCACTGCCCGCAGCTCCCCCAGCCCTGAGGGAGAAGGAGTGAGCATGGATTTGTCCCCACGCACAAACGGCAATGATAATGCAGGCAGAGAGGTGGACAGACATGTCCTGGGGAGCCCCAGGGAACTCCTGACTGTCCCCTCCAAGTGATACATCTGAGATGCATCTGTTCCACCAGCTCAAAGCCTGTCCTGATCAGAGGTCCCGGTGGCTTCCCCTCCCCTGGAGAGAAGAGGCACAGAAAGAGCTCCCAGGCTGGCACCCTGCAAACAGCAGCGCTTCCACACAAACCCAGAGATGCCACCCTAGCAGGACCCCACGGGAACAGGCACAGAGACACCCCAGCAAAGGCACATTGGTCCTTAATGGCATTTTAGGGGACACACAGAGGTTTGCTGGCATAATCCTACCATGAGCAAACCTCTTCCCCCTCCATCAGCACGGAGGCACACGGCTCTCCCAGTTCCCAGCACAGACTTTCACCCTCTCCCAGCGCGAGCTGGGAGCTCAGCCTGCTCTCTCCATTCCAACCCAAGGATGCTCTGGTATTTTTAGCTCCTTTCCCTGCTGAGAGTGACTGCTTCCTTCCGGCAGCATCTGTGGTTACTGCAAACACACAAGGCGGAAGAGGAGGAGAAAAAGAGACATTTATACACCCAGGAACCCTCATGCAGGAGACAAAAGCTCCTAATAAGCATTATGCATCACCAATTCCTATTGCACTGCCAAATTAGGAGAGAATAACATCGGTCTTGGATGATTCTATAGCATCAGCTACAGGGGAGGAAGAGGAAAGCTCTGCAGTGCTAACCAGTTTGCAAATCCCTCTGGCCTGACCCCATCCTTCCCAGAGCCCAAGGGCACATGGGGACCTGGAAAAATCAGGAAAATCTGGGCAAATGCAACCTCCCAGCCACCTGGAAATGATAACAGTGTCCAGAAGTACTGAATTGACAGCTGGGATGATTAATAGTTTAGTGATTGACAAGTGACAGCCAAGTGCTGGGACCTGTGTAGGTACAGAGAGGTTTAAGGGGACTGGGAAAAGCACAGATGCTGCCGGAGAAGCCGAGCACACGATGGAAAATACCACAAGGTCTGCCAAGGAAGGAGATGCTTTCCGGAGAAGACAGTGGCTAAGGCTTCAAAAAACACTCAGAGCAGGCTTCCAAGCTTTAATTCTGCTGAAATTAAAAACAAAACAAAACAATTTTCATTTAAATAAAAAAATCACCAGGGTGTCTTCAATGTTCCCTTCCGTCTCTTATGATGCAGAGCCAAGAGACAGACAGGAGGGAGAGGAATAAGCTAGAGAAGGTTTTCAGCACAAACTCAGCAACTGCTTCATTACAGCATGATTACAATTTAATTGGCACAGCAGACTTGACAAGATGGCTCACGTGCCTGAAATATTAATACAAAAGTCCACAGCCAGCTCTGGAAGAAAGGCAGGGAGGAGACCTTACCCTGTAGATGGAGGTGAGCGATACCTCTGCCCCGAGGCATCTCCTTGCCAGGAAGGCTCCAGGACCCAACCCAAAGGCTGAAAAACCCACGTGTGGGGAAACCACAAAAAGCAGAGCAAGGGAGAAGCAATGGGGCAGAAGACTGGAGAGGAAACCTGCACATCCAACTCACCCTCGAGGCATGGGTTCCTGGAAAATCCTGGAACAAATAATCCAGAAACAAACCCAAGCTGGGCTACAGCCAGTGGGGATCTACTGAGACCAAGTTGCATGAGATCAACCTAGCTTCCTCCCACAGAGCCACAGACCTGTGGGCTTCAGGGGTCTCAGCTCAGCTTTCTAAGTGTCTCCAAGTGTCAGAAGCCAGCTTGGGAAACACGATGGTGGTGAAACTCTACTGCACGGGCACAGAACTGCATGGATAACTCACTCTGGGAGGTATCAGAGGGTGGATCAAGCAAGGTCTCCTGGGGACCTGTGGTGGGTCCAGGTTTAGTCCACATTTCCATGAACACTTCTGGCAACTGCAATAGTGCTTCCTGCAGCTGTAAGGTGGGAAGCTAGAGGAGATGCAAGAGCGTGCTGGAATTCACCGTTCTCTCAGGAGACTGGAGAAATGGGCTGGGAAGAAAAGAAATAGGATGAAACTCAGCAAGAAGCAAAGTACCATAACTAGAAGGACCAGCAACACCAATGCTGGGTCCAGCAACTCCAGAGAAGAGAGGAGGGTTGCAAGCCAAGATCAGTTTAATAGCTTCATGTTGTTGTCAGCAGTCATTCATGAAGGCACGAACAAGAGCATGATCATGTTATCTGGTGCTGACAAGGCTGCAGGCACAGCAAAACCAGCACGTCCAGGCTCAGCATCATGCAAGGAGCAAGGCACAGGATGGACAGCACCTATGCCAGAAGACACAGCATGCAGGAGCAACCAAAGAAAGCAGGGCTGGTTGGTCCAGAGGAGAGAGGAAAAATGATGAACGACTTGTACTGGTTTTCCAGCCAGAAACATCAGGTCCCACCTTGGCATTTGGGAAACCTCACGATGAAGGTGACCAGACTCTGGGAAAGACACCATGCCTCCATTCCTGCCCCAAAAAGCCTACAGAATCCTTCCCAGGATGCTGCTGCTTTGAGGCAGGATGAGCTCGGTGGCATCTTGAGGAACCTTCTGGCCTTTCTACAAGGCAGTCCTGCCACCAACCCTCCTGGCAGACATGGTGAGCACAAGCACCCATGCCTGTTCAGCCACCCTTCCATGCACGACAGCCCAAAAATCGCCTCCAGCCACTGAGTCGTGCAGCACCTCCCTCTCCCATCTGTTCACAGGCTGCAGATGAGTTGTCCCCTATTCATGAGCCACCTGCATTTATCAGTCTGCTGACAGCATGTCCCAGGTCCCCCAGTACCACAAAACCTCCCTGCCCAGCAGCACCTGCCACCCATTTGGGACAGAGGGCTGCTGGCACCAGGACACCCAGACTGGGCAGCTTGCAGCGTGGCAGGGTGATGATGGTTTGGCCAGCAGTGGCCTTCAGGTGGCAAGCTGCCAGAGGAGAAGAGGAGCTCATGGTGGGAAGGCATGGTGGTGCCTCCGCTCTCAGCAGCACTGAGCAGGCGCGGACCAAAGCCTGAAGACCCCATGCCTCGGAGACCAGCAGGGTGGCCAGATCCTTGCACCTACTGAACGGACGTGCTGTTTGCCACTAGAGCAGGCAGCTGCCCTGCCCTGGGATGAGGCCCTTTGGATTGGTCCCCAGGAGATTTCAGTGCTGGGCTTGAAGCATCACGCTTGCCTGAAAATGCTGAGAGATGGAGCTTGGGGGTACCACCCCACCACAAAAGCCATTCCCAAAGTCAAGACTTTTCTTAATGTTTACAGCCCCAATTAGCTTATCTGAGTGGAGCCAGGCTGTAACGAGGCTGGAGGGAGACAGAGGCACCACGCAGTGATGACAGCCGTAGTCACAGCAACGGGCCGGTCTCTCCCTGGGGATGCCAGGGTGCCAGCGGAGCCGCCTGCGCACCCCTCAAGGAATCACCACGGGGATGGGGATGGAGGCGACAGCCGCACTGCCTCCCCTGCACTTTTCCCTCCTCCACCCTCTCAGTCACTTGTCAGGGGTGCAACAGGTTTTCGCTTATTCGACCCTTCCCAATCACCCCCCATCCCAATGACAGCGCCCAGCTCCCAGATCAATAATACATGCTCCCTGAAACAGATGCCTCTCTCAATACAACGAGTCACCTTGCCCTCCCGACGGGAAACCCGAGCCTCCGGCCATCAATCTTTCATTCCCTGGACATAATCTTCAAGTCGATGTGACTCCAAGTGGCTGCTTCCCTTTCACTGGTCGGGGCACAGCATGCCTGGGATGCAACAAGGAAACTCAGCCAAAAATCCAGCCACAAACCTGGGCAAAACTTGTCCAGGGGATGCTTGGCCAGACAGTAGCTGAGGTGCTGATGGATAAAACACCGTTACACCTGGACCACCTACACCTTCCCTGCACAGGCAGCTCTGCCCAGCTCCTGCTTGGGCATCCAGGAAAGGGCACAACTGCAACAGGCACAAAATAGCTGTTGCTGCTGCTGAAATTCATCCTTTTCAGCCTGTCCCAGTGTAACTCATCACACAGCGCCTGCTCATCCCTCTTGCTGCAGAGAGCTTTTCCACTGACGGATGTGGCTGGTCAGTTTAAGCGCTAAGAGGATTTTATTTATTACCATGGGGAAAAAAAAAATGTCCTTGCAGGGAATCTTTTCTCTGGGAAAAAGCTACAGATGTCAGAAGAAAACAGAAAGAAGCAGAGGAAAAATATCTTAGCAAGACAGGACATAAGCAAAGCTTTTCTCCCAATTTTCTGTGGGGCTGGGCTGTATCCTGCAGGTTTTCACACAATTCCTGGTCTGTACTGCAAATCCCAACACCAGTCATTTGCTTCTCAGCACCGGATTTTCCATGTGTGTGCTCAGGACCCATTTCTTCTCAGCTCTGGCACCTCAGTTCAGTGATTTGGCCTTTCCCTTGCTCCCGGGTAGGCAGAGCCCACCCTGGGGGCAGCATTGCTTGGATCCAGCCAGCGATGAAGTATCCCGGAGCAAAGTGGTGGTGCCTGCATGCACAGTACTGCTTTGCCTGCAGAAGTTGCTGGTTACTGCTCCTCTCCTCTGCCCAGTAAAGCCATCACTGGGAGTACTGGTTTGGGTGTCAGGTGGGACAGGACAGCAATCCTGAATTTACAGCCTCTCGATGCACACTTTCCAACAGATTTTCTCTACCCCACCACTTTAGGTGCTTAACTTCAAGGGGTTTGACATCTCAGGGTGTTTGTCTGGTCTTCCAGCCACGCTGCTGCTCAGGTCATCCTGACATGCCGCTCACTGGGACATGGACCATCACCCCAAGCGGGCCTCAACCTCTGAGTTGGGTGCTGGCCCCAGAAAAGAGCTCACAGTGGGGACTGGCTCCACAAAGCCATCCTTGCAGCAGCCCAGTGCCCCCTGTCCCCCATGGACCAGCCATCCCTCCTCCTTGGCTGATGGCACAGTGTGACATGTTCCTGCTTAGGGGGTCACCCCTGGCATCCCAGACACGAAGCCACCTTCAAATTCAGAAGGCCAGGCACCTCAGGAGCCAGAACTGCCTCCTAGCATGGTGGGATGAGAGGGGCTGAGCAAGCGGTGGATACCGAGACAAGCTCCTTCTTTCTTCTCTGGCTTTCTTCTCACTGAAGAGCCAGGAAGCTGGCTGGTTTCAAAGGAGACCTTTGCAGACCCAGCAGCTCCCGAGTCCCCCCTTTCTGCTCCTTTTTTTCCATCTGACATCATTCCTCTCTACGTGCATCACGGTTATGCTTCTCCTGAAGGTATTCCTACCAGATACCTTCCCAGTGCAAGATCCAGTCCTGGGGCAAAGTGGCGGCTCAGCCATGGACGGGAGCAAAGGTCCTTATGCTCACATCTTGCCATCTCCCCCAGAAAGCCGGCACCAATTTTTTTTTTTTTGAGTGAAAAAACAACATGCATTTGATTACTTTCTAGATAAAGACAAATCCCCTTATAAGAGACTTTTTCTCTCTAACCAGAGGTCACACCAGAGCACCTAGAGGTGACTGGGTGACCTCCCACCAGCATCAGAGCCCTGATTCAGCATCACCTTCCTAAGGCACAGTGGCCAGGCCTGGCTTCTAAACTCAAACAGCAAATGCTGTCCCCATCTAATGCCACTCAAAGCAGAACAGGGACTGCAAAAATACTTGGCAAACACTTCTAGCTGTAGTTAAAAAGCAGGTTTCCTGCCCCAAGAAGCCCACAGCAACCCTCATCGGCTTCCAACCGCCTCCCCAGCCCAGCAGTCTCCATGGCAGCCCAGTTTTCTCACCAGCACCTTCAAGGGAGCTGCCACAGATAACTAAAAAAATAATAATTAGTCTCTTGCCTCTGCGTGAAAGGCTCATCCCTGATTAAATACCCTGAACCTGTGGCTCTTCACTGCCATCGCTCCCCCTCCACGAGGACCACCTGCTTCTCCCCAAAAGCCAGGATTACTCTGTAGCATAGCAGTGGGGGGCTGCTCTGGGGGATCCTCCATCACCACGTCACCCTGCCCTCACACTGATCCAGCACAGTGTCAAACAAAATCTCTCACCAGCTTGTCTGCAAGCTCTCCTGAGCTAACCAGTGGGTCTGAACTTAAGTCCTGCAGGAGCAGATGCCTTCCTGCAAACAGGGAAGAAATGTGAACAAAAAAACACAAAGCAATGTGTGCACACAAAAGTAAGGAGGCCCTAGAAACCAGGAAGATGCAGAAAATCCCCTCCTCGACCAACGACAGACCTCAGCACCTCAGCTGAGGGAATGAAAGTAGAAGCGGGATTACTGCTCCTCATCTGATATCGAACCTATTCTCAACCAAGGGAAGGAATTAATTTGATCACTGTCCCAAGGTGGGGAGGACTGAAATACCCCAAAACCCACCCTAGGGTGGTTCCCTTACAGCCCAGAGTGCCCCAGTTCAGCATCGCAGGTGCTGGAAGGGCAGTTTTACATTCAGAGGAAATAGCTGCTTTCCGGAAGAGGGACTGTGCAGCAGGGCATGGAGAGAACCCAGAGAGCTCAGCCACCCGGAGATGTCCAAGATGCCGCGAGAGGGATACCACCCAACACAAGTTATTTTTCAAAATCACACGGAGGTTGGGGAACTGCTGCCTGGGCAGAGCCGTTGGGTCTATCTCCGCCCTGCACCGGCTGCAGCTCCTTGGGGGAAGTCTAAGTCCCTTCCCCTTTCCAGCAGAGCGCTGCTGACGGAGCAGGTTACATCCCACGGGCAACAATAACTGGCAGTGACTCTCTGTGCTGGTCCCAGCAGGGTTTGCCAAGCGGTGGGCAACCAAGGTCGGTGAAGGTCAGTGCTCTCAGAGAGCAGCTCACTGGCTTCGCCAAGGCAGCGCATCCCCCCCGGCAGGCGCGGGGGTGCCAGGCAGGACGGCATCAGGCAGAGGAGCAGATGGGCATGGCGGCGAGCAACAGGCAGCTGCTTCTTGGGGCACAGGCAGCGCAAGAGGCCTTGCCTGCACCAAACCCCACAGGAGAGCTCTGCAGAGCAGGGCTGGCACACCGAGAGTTCAGATGGGCACTGGGGTGCATCCTGCTGATTTCTTTTTAATTAATTTTTTTTTTACAGCAGAGGAAACATTTAGCTAGAGCCTGAATTTAAGGGTTCCAGAAGCAACAAATCTGAACCCAAATATTGTCAGCTACTAGTGCTCCCAGGCAAAGCAGGAGGAACATCTAAGCACCATGGCTAACTGCTTCTCAGCTCCAGCTCCTCCAGGAGCATCTGATGGGGAAGGATGCTCTCGACCATGCACTCAAGGAACAAGGATGCTCATGCCACGAATTCAATACTCTTGCACAAAGATGCTGGCTGCAGGGAAGGGAGTTGTGAGGCCAGTGTCCCAGCTCCCCTCCCAGGGCACGCAGCCGTGCTGGATCCGCAGCTGCCCAGCACGGAGCAGGGCGTCAGGGGCGGCTGCTCTCACCTCCCTGCTCGCATATTGATTGGGTTACATAAATTATGCAATACCTCTACTCCCGATTAATACTGTTAATTGAGTTGGCAGGTGGGGGGGGGGAGCAGGAGAGAAATACCGTGAAGACACACGGTCCCGCACCAAATGCTGCCATAAACGCAAAAGCTGTCGTCTCAGGGTGCTGTCCGGGTCCTGCAAGGAGCGAGCGCACAAAGCGGGGAGCTTCCCCCCAAACACAACGGCACCGGTCAGGCAGGAATTTACCGGGGGTCTCTGCAGCCCCCCCGGAAGGAGGAGCAGCGCTGGGGGCCGAGCAGCCCCGCGGGGCGGGGGGGGGGG